GGACGTCCACGATGGACGGGACCGGGAGGGAGGAGGAGGAGGAAGTGGAGGAGGAGATCATCACCTAGGGCCGCTAGTTTACAATGGAAATACGCTGACCAGTAGGATTCCCTTTGCCGATGTGCTGACCTCGATTAAGGAGCACGCCTTTACTGCTAGCCCGTAAGTTTTTTTCTGGAGTTTTTAGGGGTTAAAAATTTTAATTTTTTGGATTTTTTTGGGTTTTTTAGGTATCCAGTCATTCTGCACCTGGAAAACCACTGCTCTCTGAGTCAGCAGCGAGAGGTGGCCCGTCTGCTGACCTCGATTCTCGGCGACCTTCTCTTCACCCCCGCTGATTACCTTCCTCCCACTTCTCAAAATGTTTCTAATGGAATTGATCAGCAGGGAAAAACTTCCAAGTCGCCCTCAGTCAGCTCCAACTCTTCCAATGAAGACATGGGAACGGCTGTAGGAGTAAATCGATCCAATCAACAACAAACAAATCAGCAGCTCGGCAGCAGCACTCTCTCCATTGAGACGAGCACCAGCAGCGGCGGCAGTGGAAAGTCTGGCTCAGGAGGAGGAGGAGGAGGTAAAAATCGTCGAAGAAGTAGCAATTCGAAAAAGGACAAAGGCGGCGGAACTTCGAACTCTTCAAAGCCGAGTTCGCCAACGGTGGTCGACTGTGGTCTGCAGGCTCTCTGGACCCATTTAACTCCGGCACAACTTCAGCGGAAGATTATCATTATGGTGAGTGGGAGTTTTTGGGAAGTTTTTTGGGAGTTTTTAATTTTGACCTGATATTTAAAAATTTTTCAGAGCAAAAAGATGAGCCGCCCAAATCTTCAGGTTGAAGAGCTAAGTGACCCTGAGGGCGACGATGATGATAACGAAAATGGAGGCGGCGGAGATTCTCGAGGAGGAAGTTCTAGGAAGAAGCCCAACGTCCTCTGTCAGGAGCTTTCCAGCCTGGTCGCTCTGTCGCTGAACACGCCGCCCGCCAACTCTACCGAGCAGCAGACGGCTGCCTTGCTGAGTAGTAAGTGGAGTTTGGAAAAGATTTGGGGAGTTTTTAGCAAGGTTTAAACCTTTCCCCTTTCAATTAATTCTAGGAACAAAGTACGAGGTAGTCCATCTGTGGGAGGGCTCCGCCGCAAAGATGGCCACACTTTATGCAACTAGCTCCTCCTCGCATGTGTCTCACAGTTCGACGTCCCCTTCTTCGAACTCGATGAACTCCTCTTCTGCGATGAACTCCACTACTTCGAACACTTCGAACTCCTCTTCCTCTACCACCACCTCCTCTGACCATCACCACCATCACCACCACCTCGATCTGCTGAGCAGTCGAAATAAGCGAGGTTTCCTCTCTGCGGTCTCGCCTGATGTGAGTCGAATTGACTCGAGCAACCTGAATCCGCTTGACTACTGGAACACCGGCGTGCAGATGATTGCCATGAACTATCAGGTAATAGAAACTGATTTTTTTGTGGTTTTTGGAGTTTATTAAAATTTTTTGCTTTTTTTTCTTTCTTTTAGACCAACGGTCAAATCATGGACCTCTACCGCGGCTGGTTCAGCCAAAACGGCGGCTGTGGTTACGTGCTGAAGCCCCGCTTCCTGCGGGAAAAGTACGCCAACTTTAATGCCCGTCGGAAGGAGTTGATGCCTGGTAAGAGAGAGAGTTTTTAAAAAAAATTAGTTAAAAGTTTAACCTTTTTTTGTCCATTTTTTTACAGGCGTCGACCCGGTCAATCTCCGGATCAAAATCATCAGCGGCCAGCAGCTGCCCCGCCCTCGAGGCGCCTCCCTCAAGGCCACGGCCATTGACCCGTATGTGACGGTGCAGGTGTTGGTAAGTTTTTTAGAAGGAGTTTTTGGGAGTTTTAATTTTTTAAACTTCTCTTTTTTTCAGGGAGTTCCCGCAGACTGCGCCGAGGCCCGCACCCGTACCGTCTCCTCCGACGGCCACGACCCGATCTTCGATGAGAGCTTCGAGTTTAACGTGGCCGTGCCGGAGTTGGCCCTGGTCCGCTTCCTCGTCCTCGACGACGACTTTATCAACGACGACTTTATCGGCCAGCTGACGGTTCCCGTGAGCTGCCTGACTGCAGGATTTAAACATGTTCGACTGTTGAATCTTCACGGCGACCCTCTCAGTCCGCAGGCGAACCTCTTTGTGAAGATTAGCATTACCAATCGGTAAAGTTTCTTTTTTTTTGTTAATTCTAGGCCTTTTTTGTAATTTCTTTTTTTCTAATCTTTAGATACGGCTCAAAGCAAAAACTTCGCCGAAAGCGAAGCTGGAGCGCCAAGCACGGCTCCGGTTCGAGCTCGTATTTCGAATCGGCGGCGAGCATGAAATCAGTGGGCGTGAAGGCGATTGACGAACAGCTGAAGGTCGCCTTTGGAATGGTCCACGAACTGGCCGGCATGAGAAAGGCGGTGGAAAAGGCGATCCTCGAATTGGCAGACGAGTGTTCGCTGCCGGAGAGTGCCAATATGGCGCAATGTTTGCGGATTATCACCCTCCGATTGGCTTCCTGTGCTACTGTCACAAACTTCAAGGTTGTGAGGAGTTTGGGAAGTTTTGGAGGTTCTGGAGGAGGAGGAATTGGAGGCTATCCTCACCTGAAGGTGGTCGGCGAGCTGACGCCGAAGCTGCAGCGGACGATGGTGACGCTGGATCGGGCGTTGGCGGAGTTTTGCGCCGTCTGCACGGCCGCCAATGACCTGGCTGGTTCGGTGAGTGAATTTGGAGTTTTGGGAGGAGTTTTGGAAATTTTGGGTCTAGATTAATTTTTTCCCCATTTTAAACTTCTTAGCTCGCCGAAATTTACCGCCAGTTCTCCAGTCTCAGCTATGAGAGCTCCTCGGGCAAGGAAAGCAGTGGGGGCAGCTTTGTGCTGAGTTCCTCCTCATCAAAGCCTGAAGCGACGAGCTCTTCAGCTTCAACCTCCTCTTCGAATATGATCACCAGCCTGTTGGATAACCTCCGTTCGACGAGTCCGAAGTTTAGCTCGGCCGGCTCTTCAGGAATCTCGGCTGAAAAGTTGAGCAATTCTGATTCAGGAGTAGGAGGAGGCGGAAATCGATCCGGCTATGCGAGCTGTGAAGAGGAACAACAACATAGTACCGGAAGTTCTGAGCAGCAGCAGCAGCAGCATTCCAATTCTGGAAAAATTGGCATCAAGTTTCCCTTTACCTCCAGTTCAAGTACTGGTAATCCTTCCTCCTCTACGTCCTCTTCAGTTAGTGGAGGAGTTTCGGAGGTTAAGAAACATTCAGGAGGTGGTGGTGGTGGTGATCACTCGAGCACCTCCAACTCGCCGATGGGCAGCTTCAAGGCGACCTCTTCGAAGAAGGGCGAAAAGGTGCTGGACATTCTCAGCTGGGACCTGGCGCTGATTAAGGCGGAGCTGGAGGCGTTGAGAGCACTGCAGGCGGATTGCAGAGGAGCTTTTGCTCAGGTAGGGTTTTTGGAAGTTTTTGGGAGTTTATTTAGGAGTTTGAAAAGCTAAAACCTTTTATTTTTGTTTTTAGATCAACCGCATCGCCGACTCGCTGGAGCGAGTCTGGGCCCGAGAGCACAAGTTGAACCTTCGGTCAAACTCTCATGCGATTCGAGAGCTCTCCAACGCGCCCTTTATGCAATCGGGCACTTCCGGTTATCAAAGTTTGCAGGCGGCTTCAGAAGGTTCCGGAGGCGGACTGTCGCCGGTTTCATCTGCCAACGATTCGGCTGCCTTGGCTGGAAACGCCTCACTTTCTTCAGCCTCCTCAGCTTCTTCAGCAACTTCGACGACGCTAAACCTGCTCGATGCGACGATGAACACCAACCTCAATAATGCCAGCAACTACTCCTCTTCAAACTCCACCGCGCCGCTTTCGCCCGCTTTTGGAGGTGGTGGTGGAGGTGAACTTCGAAGTATCCTCAAGAAGTCCACCTCGCCGACGCCCAATTCCAATGCTAACAGTAATGGTCGACAGAAGGAGCATTATCTCGGAGAGTACTACCACCAATCGGCGGTGCAGCAGATTGCCGCCGAACTTTCGGCGACGCCGCTTGGAGGAGGTGGAGGTGGAGGTCAAAGTTCGACTTCAACTTCGAACACATCGAACACCACCACAACCCACGCCCAGCCCGGCCAGTACCAGCAGTTTCACAGTGATCTCAACAAGAGCCTCGAGGAGAAGCTGCGCATCGGTCAGTGAAGATGATACAGTTGATAACGATGATAACGATGATAACGATGATAAACGATGATGTGCCTGAGCTTGGAGATTGCTATTTTTGTACAGTTGATTCTTTGTTGCTATTTTCATCCATTTTGAATTCATCATCTCATCCGTTGTGCTATTTTATTTTTGAATCATTTCCTCTTTTTCATTCTCTCTTTTTCTCTCCTTTTTTTCTCATTCCTTTTTCACTCATATTTGTATTTTAAAAAGTCTTTCCCCTTTTCTCTCTCTATTTTTCTATCACCACCAACTTTTCTTTTTCCTCCGATCAACAACACTCCGATTCATTCCACACACACAGCTCTCTTTCTCTCTCTCTCTCTCTTGTTTGAATTTTTGTTTGTCTGTTTGACTTTCTTTCTTTCTTTCTAATAACAATAAAAATGCATTTTTCAAATTAGAACTTTTCTGATCAACTTTTGTTTTAGAATATTGAAATGTGCACCAGTGTTGAAAAATGCTAAAAGAATCACTGTCAGTTTTAAATATTGCTAGTCTGTTTCGCCTTCAGAAGAGGGCGTCACCGTCGCTGCAGCCGGCACGTTGTTCACTTCGCTTTTGTTTCCAGCACCTTCTCAGGACAAGCGTGGCCGCCTGCTTTTGCTCTTGTTTTCATTTTCTTTTCTCCGGGATTCTATTTGGTCTCCGGGACCAGAAAACTCCCAAAATGGACGTCGTCAGCCCTGGTCACCCCAAAGACTTTTTATCGTCAAGATCTTCAACACGTGATGATGGTGGTGGCGATGGTGGTAGCAGTGGACACCCCGATGAACTACGATGACGACGACGTTGTTTCGGTGAGTACCAATTTTTTTTCTCCCATCTTCCTCTTTCAATTCATCTTTTGCAACTTTGCTCATCAACTTTGATTTGATGCTGCTGCTGCTGCTGCTGCTGATGATGATGATGATGATGATTATCCCGAACTTAGCTCTCTTTCACTCTCTCTTTTCTATTTGCATCACTGTTGCCTCTCTGTCTGTCTGTTAGCCTTTTGTCTGTGTCTGTGTTTGATTGACAGTGTATCATTGCTGCTGCTGCTGTTTTCATTTTCATCATTTTGCAATTCAATAACTGTTGCATAGGCTCCTCGCCCGCGCGGCCAATTGATTTGCCTAATCAACGACGCAAATCTATCCAATCGATAGCAGATCTGCTCTGATTAGGCAAAGCTGCTCTGCTCTGCTCTGCTCTGTATCTGCTGCTGCTGCTGCTTCTCCTTCTCCTTTACCATTACCATCATCAGTCTTTGGTGTCTTTAGCAGCAGCTGAAGTGGAAGCCATCACCATCACCATCATCAACAATTGAGCTGAAAGTGTCATCAGCATCAGCAGGCAAAAAGACAGCAGGAGCACACCGAGTGCTCGTTGTTGTTGTTGTTCATCTTTTCCACTCATCTCAACTTTTCAACTCAACTCATCTGTAGAAAAGCGACTCAACTCATCATTAGGCTAATTTTAGAGGGAGAGAGAGAGTTGACATTTTCCCGCTTCTTCAGAAAGAAGTGAACTTCTTCTCTTCTCTTTTACTCGTTTCCAGCTATTTGTGTACTTGGGAGAAAGAATATTCATTAGTGCGCCGATGAACACGACTACGACGACGACGACGTTCAACTTTACTTTACTTCACTCCCCTCATGTATGACATCTTTGACTCTTTTTTATGACGATTTGTCTCTCGATCTTGCTCTCTTCTTCGGCGTCTTATACCGCTTCTTTAGCCGCCGCCACATCTTCTTCTCCTCCCTCGAAGACGAATGACTGGCGTGCAAGGGGAGCGTGTTAGGAGAAGAAGAAGAAGAAGAAGAATGGGACAACCAAGAGGAGAAGAGAAGAGGAGGGATTCTATTTTTGGCGCCCAGATTCTACTTGCTCACTTTTTCTCCTTTGATTGCAGTGTTCACTGTGAGCATCACGATTGTACAGCTTTGCTTTGACTTTCCTTCGGTAGTTTTTGCTGCTGCTGCAGAAGAGATTTGCCATTTAGATTATGGTGACGAGCTGCTGCTTTGGAGCAACAGGCAGCCACCGTAGCCGCCGCTTTCTTTGCCATCCTTTGATTCTGACGATTCTGATTCCGAAGAAGAAGACTGAAATGAAAGCAGATAGAAGGGCTTAGGTTACCAGATGGAGAGCTTATCTTGACAGAAACGGTGACGGCAGCTTATGATTTTGCTTTCTTTCTTCTTTCTCTCTCTCGTTTCGCTTTAATTTGAAATCGTCTGTCTCTGTCTGTCTGCCTCTGTGCCCGTCAGTGCTCACTTTCCGCCTGACCAGAATATTCTGACGTACTCAGTTGTTCTCTCTATCTTTCGGATTCTGTGTGTGTGTGTGTGTTTACGTTGCCTGCCGCTTTCCTCTCTTTTTTCCATTCGTTGCGCTTGTCTGTTTAGCTGCTGCTGCTGCTGCTGTCTTTTTCCTTTCAGTTTTTTCTTTTGCACTGTGTGCGGCGGCACAGTTGTGTATTCTCCCTCTTCTTCTTCTTCTTCTTTTAGCGAGACTTTTTTGCCCTTTCGTTGTCTGTCTTGTCTGCCTTGTCTTGCACACTTTAGTGTGATGATGATGATGATCGTCTTCTCCTCGATCTTCAGCTTGCTGCATGCAATTAACCTAATTTCTCCTGTACACTTCTGTTTTTTGTACGACAGTCAGATGTACACTGGTTGCACCATGTGTTCTTGTGTGCTTGTGTGCATTGGCAGCAGCAGCAGCAGCAACATATGGTGATCGCCAATGCTGTGGTGGTAGTGGTTTTTCTCTTGAATAATCCTCGATTCTGGGTTATGCAAACATCGTTTGAAAAGAAGAGGGAGAGAGGTGCAACAGATGATCGGAGCTGATGCTGCTGCTGCTGGTAATTAGTGGGTCATTAGAAAAGAGTGCAATGTTGCTGCTGCTGCTGCTGTTGCTCATTAGTGCAGTGATGCTTCGGTGAAATCTTGTTGCTGGTTTTTGGTTTAGGTTTTTTGTTGACTCTGAGCTCTGATTTGGACGAAAGTTTTGAAGGTGTTTGAAGTTCCTTTTCTTTTCTTTTTGTCTAATCCTGTTTGAAGTGATTATCACTCTGAAAACGGCTTAATTAATTTGATGAAACTATGATGGATGGCAAAGGCTCAGTGATTTTTCCCTTTTCTTTTTGACTGCCAAATTGACACTGTTTACATTGACTATAGTGTGAATGATTGGTGGTGGTGGTGATCGATTTGCTGGTCAATTTGGTGGGGTTTTTGAGTTTTTGAGCCTTTCAAAATTGATGAGCGATTTATGATGATGATGATGGCTTTTTTGTTTATTTATCTGCTGAGGTCAGTGGGTCGAAGAGTTTTGTAACCTTCTTTGCATTAAGATTACTCCTCGAATTCACTTTCCACTTTGTCTACTTTTCCTTTCATCCGTTTTTAGTTGATCATCATCTTTTGAAGAGATCCTTTCCCTCTTTTCTATTTGATTCGATTGCCCCGTCTGCCCGGTTGCGGCAAAGTCCAGTCGATGGGGGCACTCTGATAAGGTGGAAAAAGAAGAGGTTCTTGATAAGAAGTGCATCGGAGAAAGCCGCACTGAGGAGCAAGTGTTTTC